ACACAGCTAACAGAGCTAACACAGGTAGCACAGCTAACAGAGCTAACACAGGTCGCACAGCTAACAGAGCTAACACAGGTCGCACAGCTAACACACACAGGTAACACAGGTAGCACAGCTACACAGCTAACAGAGCTAACACAGGTCGCACACCATGACGCTGAAAAACCAGGCTAACAAGTAAAAAACACAACTTTCATTTAAAACTTTTACACAACAAACCGTCTGACTGTAGGACCGCAGGTCCACGGTTTAGGTGTGTATCTAACTGCACAGTACAACCTACAAAATGTTTGCTTTGTATGAAATAGTTTAAGCTTAACGCTACGTGCTAATGCTAACAGGTTAGCATGTACGTTAGCAGTGTGAACGGTGAACACGACACGGAACCCCCTCGATCCGAACGGAACCGTTCGGTTTAACGACAATACGAGCTTGTAAAGTTTCTGATATTTACTTTAATGTAAGTTAAATAACTGTGTGAAAATTATTTCACCATCAGTCCTGCTAAAGATGTCATTAAATGTTAGCTCCCTCCACGGGCTCCGACTACTTCATGGATTTGATATCAGTTACAGTCGCTGGTAATGTTGAAACAAACCGTAACTTTAAATTTAACTTACTGAATGAGGAACTTAGCAGGTAGTTAGTCAAAGATTATGTGTCAAAGTATCATAAAACCAGGTTAAATGAAGATTATTGTTCCTTTAGAGATGAGTAATGACAGCTGTTTCTCAGTAATTAGACTCCTCCATCATCAGCGGCAGCTGCCAGCGGCTTCCCTTCGTCTTTAAATCAGTAAAAATGTTTTTAATTTAGAAATATTAATAAACTCACCATGTCTCCAGTAAAACAGTTCAGATCATCATCTTTTTACTTTCACACAACTAACTTAATGAAATGGAAGAGTTGCAGCGCCTCCACATCAGTTTTTAACTTTCAAAATAAAATGGCGTCTGTCACTGCCGCGGCGCGCTCGCGCGACCAGACGAGAGCGCGACTTCTTCTTCTACTTCTTCTTCTTTTTCTTCTTCTTCTTGGATTTTAATGGAGGTTGACAAGGAACGTTGGGTAGGCATTACCGCCACCACCTGGTAAAGAGTGTGAACCACATGATTTTAAAAACAACTAGATCCTATTAAAAACTTACACTGTTTTAAATAATTAAATAAGGCCTCATATCCTCTACTTCCTGAGTCTTCTTGTCATTAAATCAACAATATCAAATTTTATTTTCATGCTACTAAGATTTCTAATTAACTTATTTCTTTACATTAAATAATTCCTACAACTCAAAATAACDTGTTCCACTGTCTCATCTTCCCCACATTCACATCTCCCTGTCTGATGTCTCCCTGTCAGAAATAATAAAATATTTAATCCAGTGAGTCCAATTCTAAACCGTGAAATAATTATCTCTTCTCTCCTGATTATCTCTGATATTCTTTTGAATTTTATATAACCACCTTCCTTTCTTTTCTTCTTCCCATAACTTTTACCACCTCTCTCTTGTTTTGTGTTTAATTATACCGTTTATTTCTGTTATACTAAAACTAACATTAATATCTATCCTCTCCAGATTAGTACTCTTTTTGGCCATTCTGTCTGCCATTTCATTACCCTTAATCCCTTGATGTGCTGGAACCCAAACAAAATTTACTGTTAGTCCCATCGTATTGATTCTGTGAAGTGTTTGTTGTATTTCAATTAATATTTCTGGTCTACTGTCTGATTTATTATTTTGCAAACTGAATAACGAAGAACTAGAATCTGAACAAATAATGATTTTAATGGTCTTACCTCTTCCACCCACTGAACGGCTGAAAGCAAAGCAAGCATTTCTCCTGTATACACTGAGACTTCGTCACTGATCCTTTTCCCTACTTTAATTTGAAACTGTGGTACAATAAATGCTGTCCCTACCTTATTAGCTGTATTTTTCATGCATCTGTGTAGATTTGTATATAGTTATAATATCCATTTAAGTGTTCTTGTATTATATATTTATTCATAGCGTGAAATTTAWCTTTGTTGTTCTTTTCTAAAAAAGAAAAGTCAACCTCAACATCAGGAATTATCCAAGGTGGAACTGCAGATAATGGAACTGCCTGACATATATCTGATTGATTTAAATTAATTTCATTAACTTTAGAGTTTATTATCCATCCAAAGCTGTTTAATTGTTTCTTTTCCTTTTCCCAGACATGTTTAAGCACCTCTAATGTTGGATGATCAATTCTTTGTCCTTGTAAATTTGACCAATAATTTAAGGATAATTGATCCCTTCTAAGTTTAAGAGGCATTTCTCCCATTTCAACCTGTAATGCTGCTGTTGAAGATGTTTTAAAAGCACCGGTACATAGACTTAAAGCCTGATATTGGATAATATTTAACTTATGGAGATTTGATTCTGCTGCTGAATTGTAAACTATACATCCATAATTGTTGGAGCCTATTAATTATTTAAATGACATTCTTGTTATATGCAGAATTATGTAGATTATTATTA